GTAGGGAATGTGGGACGTGTGGTGTCCAGAGAGGGAGGGACAGGTGTAAGTGCCCCAAGCGTGCGATGCTTCTCCTCTCCTTCTCCCCCAGCTTCTCAGGCAGAGCTTGGAAGCTCAATTACGCCACTTGATTTGTTTTTTATCTTTCAGGCATTTAAAGTCTTTGAGCGGATGGCCCGGCAGGATGACGAGAAGAGGCGCCGAGAGCTGGAGGCGAAGCTAAGGAAGAAGGAGGAGGAGGAGGAGGCTGCCGCATCTGCTGAGAGGGTGAAACTGTCCCCTGCAGCTCAGGAGGTTGAAGTTGAGACAACAGCAGAGCACATCCCAGCGCCAGATGCCAGGGGAGCTGCAGGGGCGCAGGAGTCGGCTGTAGCCCAGGATGCAGCCCCCAGTCCTGTGTCAGCAGAGCCCCTGGGGACTACTGCCCCGGCAGAGTCCCGGCCAGCAGAACTGCCCACGTAAGGGTCTCTTACTTTCTTCGTGCTCCTGGCAGGGGGGAGGCAAAACCACAGAGGTGGTGTTTGCTGTGCAGCCATACAGCCCTTTTTTGGGAGAAGTGGCCCTCCTCTGTGGGCACTCAGCCCGTTGGGAGGCTGTGAGGATTTCCCTTGTGGGCTCCTATGACCAGAGACATCATGTAATTCCCCACGGGAGGGCAGGGCTTGTTCTTCTCCTGGTGGTTTGGTGTCTGCCCCTCCACTCTGAGCAGGGAAGGTGGCACGTCCCTGTCCACAGCCCTGCAGAGCTGTGCCGGTCCCTGCAGCTTCTCCTTGTGCTGGCAGTGGTGAGCAGCATCCCTTTTCCAGCACTTGCCATGGCGCAGATGGTCCGGTCCATCAGAGCTCTGGCACCACCTGCAACCCTTTTTTCACAGAAATTCAGTGTCGGGCTCCCTTGGTGTGCTGTGAGATGTCCTGGGAAGCGGCTAGGAGGTTGCACAGATACCTGCAGTACCTGCGATTGGCGTGGGCAGGCCTGGCTGCATGACAGGCAGTGGGGCCAGCTGTGGTATCAAATACACATGGCCAAAAATGGGTTCGGAGATCTCTGGAGGTCTCTGGCCCAGCCCTTTGCTCAGAGCAGTGCCAACTTTGAAGACCAATCAAGTGCTGCAGAGAGTTTTGCCTTTAGCTGGGTTCTTTCACCAGACTCCATTGCTTTCACGTGAGGCTAAGCAACCTTGTTTTTTACAAAAATGTCCTTGTTTCTAAGTCCTTCCAGGGTGTCTGTGGCTCTTGCAGCTCGGCTCTGTCCACTGAGCAGCGGGAGGTGAGCTCCAGTGGGCCGGCATGGCCTTTATGAACTGCTCACCAGAACGCAGGGTCCTGTGCAGGTTCTGCTCATCCTTCCCTGGGCGTCACCCCGAGCCCAGGCAAAGATGTGTCACCTTCTCTTGGGGCCTCATGTGCTATTGAGTTTCAAGCTCCTGTGTCTCCTCGCTGCCTGAGTCAGTGCCTTGCCTCGCCTTGCGGGGGGGATGCCACAAACAGGGCATGGCAGATCGGCATCTCCTTCTTCCTTCCCCGGTGTCTCTTGTGGTCAGAGCCCCATGGAATGCCCACACACCCCCCACCTGCTCACCACTGCTTTCCTGGTCGTACGTGGGGCTTTGCTGCAGTCCATCCCTGCTGTCCCAGTGGTGCTTAGCGAGGAGGACAGCTTGGACCGGTGATTCCTGTCCTCTGGGCCAGGTTTAGACACATCGATGGTGAGAGAAAGCCGCTGGAGGGAAGCAGGCTTTGCTAGGAGAGCCCCAAGGCCTGGAAGGAGTGGGGTGGCCGATGCCCATGAGGGGTAGGGAGGCTTCAGAGCCCAAACTGGGGGTGTGGAAGGGATGGTCTGAGGACCAAAATCCTGGAGGCAGAGGAATGATAAGTGGCAGGATGTGGAGACGGAGCCTGCAGCCTTGGCTCCAGGCAGCAGTAGAGAGGAGGGTCTGAGCATGGCAGCCATCGTGACGAAGGGGAAGGATGCTGGCTGCGCCCAGGCAAGGTGCCTGCCAAGTGACTTGATCCAGTGGCGAGGAGGAGATGGACTCATGCTTGACTCGGCTGATCTGACATGCATCCTGCAGGATAAAAATAAGCCAGAACCCAAAAATGAACTCACCTGAAAAGCTACACGTTCTGCTGCCTGTGCCAGAGCTGTCCTGCGAAAGAAAGATTGTCCCCAGGGCTGTCAGTCTGACACCTCTCCCAGTGCAAAATTAACGAGCTGAAAAAAGCCCTGTTAGAGCTGGCAGGTCTCTGTGGCCAGGCTGTGCGGCCATGGCGCTGACCCGTGTGATTCCAGCTCGGCTTTATCCCAAAGGGAAAGGAGGGGGAAGGGTGTGAGGCTGCCAGTGGGAAGGAGCTGGGGCTGGCCTGAGCACAGGCTGCTCGGGCCCCCTCGCAGCCCAGGGTTGTTGCATTCTGCCACGTGAAATTTCAACTCGGGCCTTTTGTTGTGGGGGCAGCAGATGTTGCGAGTGGTATTTAACTGTCTGAAAACAGATGTCAAAGCTGTGGGAAGGAAACTGGAGGGATTCGGAAGGAAGCTGAGCGCCGGTGTCGGGGCAGGACATGTCTGACGGGGCCAGTTTCTGCTGCGGGTGGGGAGAGCCCAGCCCTTGCATCCTCCGCCCTTTCAGCGTCTGTCCTGGTGCAGCCAGAGCGTGGCCCCTGGCAGACTTCAGATGCTTGAATGCTCTTCTGCAGATGTGACATAGAGCACAAAGCCCTGTGTGGCAGCTCTCTCACCAGGCTAGCCATGAAAAGAAGGTGCCTTCAGCTGAATACAGGTGCTCCTGCAGCTTCTGCCCTGCCTAACAGGCTTTTCTGCCTTTCCTTGTCCTGCCTGCGCCTGCTCTGGCTGCCCCAAACTCGCCAGCAGGGTAAAATACTCACGGCCCCCTTGGTGCCTGCCTGGTTTGGGTGCATGGTGGGTGAGAGCGGGTGGAGGAGGACCCATCCATCGGGGCATTGCAGCCCGGTGGTTTCCAGGCTGGGAGCGGAGAGTCTGTGGGCTCCAAGTAGGGCAGAGCAGCCAACAGGTTTGTCCAAAGGCTGTAGTTGGTTTCTGTGCCTCTGGGGGGCACTGGAGCCCCCTGAAAGGCAGCGGGGACCAGGAACGGGCGTCCTGGGCACCCCCGACAGACTATTAATAATTTAACCGGCTGCTTAATTCTGCACAGCCCCTTCTGAGCAAAACCCAGAGCCACCAGCCTGGTTACGAGGGGCGCATGAATAATGTGCGGCTCCAGCAGCAAGAATGCAGAAAAGAGCTTAAACACAAATATTTTTCATCTCCCTTCCCCCCACCCCTCCATCCGCTACTGGTGAAGAAAACCGCTGCCACCAAAATCTATATAAAAACTCACTCATTCTGTCAACCTGCCTGCTCAGTAAATGTAGGGCAGGTACCATCCCAGATCTGCCAGCTCTCATCAGAGCTTCGCTGCACGCCCGGGTGCTGGGGCGCTGTTGGTGAGCATCTTGCGAAGCACAGTGAGATGGCGGCAGCTTTTTCGGGGTCGATCTGGAAGGGGAGAGCAGAATCCAGCCGACTGCGGGTGCGGAGAATTGCCGGCGGGCGAGGAGGGTGTCAGGGTTTGGTTGCTTGCTCTGCCATGGGCTCGGCCAGATCTACCCCCATCCCTCACCTTCCCCATCTGTGAAAGGGAGGTGATGTAGTTCCTCTTCACTAGGAAGGCTGCCCTGTAAACACGCTGAGGACTGGGGTATCTTTGGGGTGACCAGCGTGCCGGGAGCTGTGCTGAGGGGAACCGGCGGTCTCTTTGGTGCCGCCGAGGAAGCTGGCACCTCATCCTGGCTCACAGCTGTCCTGGGGTCCTCACCTTTCTTCCCTGGCTATCTTTCTCGCGTGCTCTCCCCACCCCACTGGGAGGATGGAGGGGAGTGTACCCCCTTTGCACCCCCACCATGGGGCTGCTCGTCCAGGGAGCGCGTGGCTGGGGCTGCGTTGCAGCTGCACATCTCACACAGGCCCCTGCTCTGGCTCTTCCCCCATCTGCTCCCAGATGCCATCCTCGCCTGAGCTCAGCTCCTAATTTTGAACACCTCCGCCGCCCAGCACACTCCCCTTCCCCCAGCTTGGATTTCATCCTGCATATATTTGCCACACAGCATTTAAAATAGAGCCCGACAGCCCACGTGTGGCACTGCGCAGCCCGGCCTGGGGGCTTGGTTCGTGCTTTTCGACTCTGGTTCCTGGTTCCCCTCTGCTCCTTTCTCTTTCTGAGTATGAAGGGGGAGTTGTGCTCTCCTCCCCCATCCTGTGAGCCCCATCCCGGGATTACTTTGCGCAGGCAAGAGGTGGTGGCAGGAGGTTAGAAGCCACGGCTCTGGAAGCCTGTGCATGACAGTGAATGTCCTGCCTTCATATGTTCCGCTGTCCAGCCTTTGCCTCTCACCTGGATGCTCTGGCCAGGCATGGTCAGGACGGTCAGCTCTGGGCTGTATGTTAGAGACCATCTTGGACCTTGGGAGAATGACCCGCTGGAAATAGCAGTGGGGCTTTTGATTGTCAGGCAGGAGAGGTCTCCCAGAGACAGATCTTAGGGACAGACGTTGAGGGATTCCCCCAAAAGGTGATGGTTCCCCACAGGAGACTCTGGCCTGTCTCCTGCTTCCCTCTGGGCAGCAGGGAGTTGGGGGAGCTGCTGGTCTCTTCTCTCCCCTGCCTGCGTAAGGCTCGAGTCAGAGCAGGCTGGCATGGAGCTGTGGCACCCACACAGCCCAGGTCAGGCGTGCACAGTGTGCCCAGGGCTGGAAACGGTACCAGTGGGACATGGAGCACCAGTGAGCGCTGGCCGGGCCAAGGAGGACGTGCAGCGCCTAATCCCTTGGGAGGGTTTGCAGCTGCTGCTGGGGGACCTGGTGTGGTGACTCGCACTGCTGAGCCAGAGAATGAAACCCCGTGACCTCCGTGGCTCAACTGTTCACCTCCTTCAGTGTGGAGAGGGAAGAAGAGGCTGTAGGAAGGGACTGTGGTGAGGAAGGGGCTGTTCCCTGCTCCACCACTACCTGGCTTGGGCCTTGAAGGAGACTCTGCAGATCTTTTGCCCTGCGTGAGCTGGGGAAGAGACTCCCCCCACCCTCTGCTTGCAGTGTGGTTGTGCCAGGGAAGGGGTCGAACAGGCAGCAGCGTTGCCTTCGCCCTGTCCTGGCTCTCGCTAGCTAGCAGAGCCCTGGCCACCCTGGCCAGGTGAGCTCTGCCGCAGGGCCGGCCACCCGCTTGCTGCTCTGCCGTCCCTGTAAGTGGGTGGCAGGGCTCAGCAGCGACCTACAAAAATCACTTGTGTACTTTCCGGCTCGCTGTCCCTAGCGTGAGGCAGAGCAAAATTGAACTGAAATGTGTTAATCTGCTGAGCAGACTCCTCTGACACTCCAGCTCTCTCCTCTCCCTAGAGTGGCCACTTCCATTCCCGGAGCCATTGCGGCCTAGGGTTAACCCTTTG